GCAGATGCCGTACTAGATATTGTAGCTCACAAGCTACAAGCTCCAGTGGAAAATCCTAAAGAGTTTGATAACTTTGGTAAACACGTTGCCGAACAATTAAGACAAGTTTCGAAACCTCAAGCGATTTTTCTTACAAAAATAATTAACGATGCCATTTTTGGGGCACAGTGCGGGACATTAACGCAACATTCTCGCATTTTAGCTAATACTAGAGGAGTTCCTGTAACTGAAGCTACTTATGTTGCTCCTCATGCCCCCATAGAAACTGTGGCAAGAAATACTCTGCCAGGTGAACTCAGCAGGATGCACAATCGCCAACCCGTAACTGCGTATTGTCCAGAAACAGAAAATCCCGAAGCTACTTACCACCAATGGCAACGACCACTCGATGGTACTCTAGCAGACTATTATTCTAATGTCGCACCATAAAATTGTGTGTTTTGTTATAATTCATATATTATCCAAAAATAAATTTTCTTACCTTCATGTACTGATCTTTTAGAACCGTTATTATTGCTTGGCATGTTGTAGGAATTATCTGTGATAAGGCTTGGGGTGATATAATTACTGAAAATTTCATGTCTTCAAAAGTTCTTCCTGTTGCTAAAAATCGAAGAGTAGCAGTCAATCTTTCATGGGGCGTAATTGCCACCCTCATCACTGTGTCCTTCTTTATAATTAATGGTCCAACTTGACATCGCAATTCCTCATAAGTACCAGTATCCATTCTAAGGTAGTTCATCCAGTCACGGGGTTCCAGTCGCAGTTCTAATAAATTTGTGTGTGAATATTTATTCCTTTTTTGTAACCAATCTTTTGTCCATCGTGACCGTTTTTTTGAGTTTGTCTTCACTATTAATGCAACAGCTGTAGCAAGTAGTATGTCATCAGATGCCATCGCTTTGTGCTACCGCGGCCGTGCTTACTTTACAACTGAAGTTGTTTTCTGTAAGTCGCCAAAGAAGTCGGTGCGTGTAGAGACGCAACGAACCAACAGACTTTTCTCTCAACTTTGTTTGTCAAGCCAAATCGGCCGACTGGCATGCGTGTGTGTAGCAGGCTTAAAGCAGCTTAGAAAACCAGTAGGATCGTTGTAAGAGTGAATTTTAACTAAACATGGCGACTTTCATGAACGTGGAACGTTGTCAAAAGGTGCATTCAGTTTGAAAAACACATTAGGAGCAGGAATATCGAAAACTTTTCAGGTAATTAACTTTTATTTATGCATAAATTGTGCAGTGCGTTTTTTATAACACTGGCCATAGAGATTCCCATCTCAACGTGTCTACCCCATTCTAACTTATATTTTGGTGACTCGATTTTTGCTTTGATGGTTGAACATTGTCACTGTTACCTACTGAAGTATTAATATCATCTAGAAAAACTAGAAATATTTTGGTTTGATATTCGAGTAGATACTTCGTATTTCGAGTATGAGCATCTACTGAGTTTTATTTATATCAACCATTGTCAAAAAATTGATCGAACGTTGTTTCGACAGAACTTCCTTCGTACCAAAAGTATAATGAAACATATTCAGTATTTTCGAGTTGAGTCTTTTCTTCACACAATTTTGTGATGACTAGAGAGCGGATTTTATGAAATTTGCATATCCGTTATTTTTTGCATATAAGTCTTGATATTTAATATGTGAACGAATCATGCTAATTAAAAACGAATACAGCTATAAAAAAATTGCATATTTGCATATATGTATTTGCCTTCTGCTGCATATTTCACGTAACGGGTGCATATTTTGCATTTTTATCAATTTTTGTGCTAATTTGAAAAAAAAATGATCGGCATGTATCTAGAAAGACGAAATTTCATGAATCATATTGCAAATATTGTCCTGATCTTCAAATAACTAGTAAAGGTTTGGGTTTTATGGTAGTTTGGAGAATCCATTGGGTGTTAAGCCGTTCTTCCAGGTAAATTCGGCCCTCCTTTTTATTTCGGAAATACCGTTCATTCTCCATATTTTTGTTCGTTATTTAAGTGTATTAATGGTATGTGTTATGGTGGTTGAAGGGACGTTACCCTATCATTTTTCATCGTGAGTTTGCATTGAAAGCATTTAAAGCGATGCATGTGTGTTAATATGTCGAAGATAACTCAAATTAATTTATGGATTAAACCTTTTCCTGAAATTATCCTTCAAGAAGGAACTGTTTTGTCGCGTCTGCTCTAAACCGGTAAGGATTTTTATATCTGTTGACGTAGTACACAGTTTTTCTATTGCAAATATACTTTAGAATCATCGGAAAACTTTTGGTTAGAATATTTCGAAAAATATTTAAAAATAAATTGTTACCAAAATAGTAATTAAATAGTCGGTTACTACTAATTTTGTAATTTGCAAATAAATTTAATTCGGTTATTAGGCTTTTTTTTAGTTTTTGGAGCATATGCAGCTGCATATCTCTGCATATATTAAGAAAGTTACTGCATATTTGCATAAATTTGGTGCATATCATATGATCATATTTCCCAAAATTTTGCTGCATATTTTTCGCTCTCTAGTGATGACCTAATCAACATTTACGATCAACACGTATACCACCTTGGATTGGTGCAGTGTAATACTAAAAATAAGTGTATTGTATTCCCAAAATTATCTGCGAAAATCGAGTGAGCCATTCTATCAATTTTTTGGGGGCAATAAATAAAAATTCTTAACAATTTACCATGCTTACAATAACTTTAAAACGTCTGCAAGATCTCAAAGTATTAATTTTTGCAATTTTTGAGTTATTCATTAAAATAAATTGACTGATCCATATATTTTTTTGAGTCACTGTAAAAGCAAACCTAAAAAATATGAATGCAATGATAAATTACGAAAATATACTGATGATATTTTCCACATTTTAGATAGGATTTATTCGGCAAAATCTTGAGATGGCGTCTTCAAGTTTTTGGGCTTCATAAACAGATATATTTTTATTGAAAACCTACCATGTCAAACAGTAACTTCAAAACGTCTGCAATATTTCAAAATTCAGTTTTGCAATTCTTGATTCAATCAATAAAATAAATTGACTCAGTGATTAATTTTTTTGAGACACCCCCTAGAAGCAAAACTAAAAAATATGAATGGAATGATAAATCACAAGTATAGTCTCATCCTATTTTGGACATTTTAGATAGAATTTATTTGGCAAAATTTTGGGCTGACGTCATCAATTTTTTGGAGGGGATAAGTAAATATATTTTGAATAAAAATTTATTATGCTTATCATATGTTTAAAACATGTGCAAGATTTCAAAGCATTCGATTTTGCAGATTCAAAATTAAATTGTGGGTAAAACGAAGTTCACGGGGTCAGCTAGTCGTTAAATAAAGGGGAAATGGCGTGTTGTAGCCTGGCAGATGATGCACGGATCGATTGTATAGGAACGATCACAACGCCCGTGAAACTTAAGAACGAGTACCGCGTAAAAGATGTAGTCCCAGCGATGCGGTACGAGCTGGTGTCGAAGGAGGGAGTTCTGGAGGAAATTTGGGTTGATCCCAAATTTGCGGGATTTAAAATTCTCCCTGGCGGACGAAGCGGGTACGGCAAAGTCGTGTACACTTGGAAGTGTTCAAGGTCTACGCGACCTGGGACAGAGTCACCGTTTCCGCCTTAACGAGGTCGTTGACGATAATTTTAACGCTACGGCGGGTGTTGAGCTAGGATGCACAAATTTGATGGAGCATAAGATCGAACTCAAAGATAACGTACAACCTATTAAGTGCAAAAACTATAGAATGAGTCCATATGCTCTGCTGGAAATGGATAAAGAGTGGAAAGAGATGCTGCGATTAGGCGTAATCCGGCGTAACACGAGCGAATGGAGTTCGCCGGCCCTTATGGTGCCGAAAAAAGACGGGTCAGGACGGTTCGTCGTAAACTTTCAACAATTAAATGCAGTTTCAAAGCGTCCGGCTTATCCGCTACCGAATATGAGCGATATTTTGGATAAATTGGGCCATGCCAAGTTTATAAGCACATTGGACATTCGTAGCGCATATTGGCAGATACCCGTAGAAGAGAATAATCGCCAATATACGGTGTTCAGTATTCCGGGACGAGGTAGTTTCGAGTTCTGCCGTATGCCAATCGGATTGCATGATGCACCGCGCACGTTTCAAGAACTGATTGATCGGCTTATCAACGTGGAATTAGAGCCCTACGTCTTCGCTTATTTAGACGATATAATTGTAGTCACAGATACTTTTGAAACGCACTTGGAGGTCTTACGCAAGGTTTTGAAACGCGAAAAGTGCGAATTTTGCAAACCAGAATTGAAGTACCTGGGCTATGTTGTAAATGGTCACGGCCTCAACATCGATGCCGGAAAAGTTAAGGCGATTCTCGACTTGCCACGCCCAAAGAACATCCGGGGCATAAGACGTATCGTAGGCACATTCTCCTGGTTCCGGAAATTTATTCCGAATTTTGCAACGCTCGCGGATCCGCCGATTCAACTAACGCGGAAAAACGTACGATTTCGGTGGACGACGGCATGTGAGACCGCATTCCGTAACCTACAGAATGCGCTGGTTACAGCGCCTATCCTAGCTTGTCCGGATTTTACCAGGTCGTTTATCCTCCACACTGACGCTAGTGATCTCGGAATGGGCACGGTTCTCACCCAAAAGGTCGTCTGCTACGTGTCTAAGGCGTTTACCAGCGCGGAACGCAAGTATAGTGCCACGGAGAAGGAATGCTTCGCGCTCATCTTAGCGATCGAAAAATTACGCTGCTACCTAGAGTTCACGAAATTTACGGTGGTGACGGAATGTTATGCGCTCAAGTGGCTGCACTCGTTGAAAAATCCTCTGGGCAGATTGGGGCGCTGGGTGCTTTGTCTGCAAAATTTCAATTTCGAAGTGATCCACAGACCAGGGAAGGAGAACGTGGTACCGGATTGTTTGAGTCGAGCGTTTCCGGAAATTAACGTGCTGGAATACGACCCTCTAGCCGCGATTGAACTAGGTAAAGATCGTTGATATGATCGGCTTGTACACGCCATCGAAAACGACCCATTGCGATATCCAAAGTTCCGCCTGGAGGACGGAAGGTTGTTCAAAAAAATCGTCGAAAAAGAGATTGGTGCGGATCGGACGGACTGCTGGAAAATCGTGGTACCGTCGTACCTACGACCCGGCATTCTACGACGTTATCATAATGAGTCCCGAACAGGAGGTCATTTGGGGGTATATAAGACCTACAACAAGGTAAAACATCTATACACTTGGTCCCAAATGAAACATGATGTGGCGCAATTTATTAAAAAGTGTCGGGTTTGCGCAGCCGTCAAACCAGAGCAACGTTTTCCGGCCGGGTATATAGGAACGAAGCCCGAGATTACGCGCTGCTGGCAGATGATAAGCTGCGATCTGTTTGGACCGTTACCGCGAACATCGCGAGGTCATCAGTACGTGTTGGTGGTAACTGATTAGCTAAGTAAATTTCTCTTGTTCATTTCAATGAAACAGGTGACTGCACGTCATGTTATTGCGGAATTGGAGGAGAAAGTCTTCCTCATATTCGCCGTTCCAGAAATTTGCATCGCGGACAACGGTGTGCAGTGCGGTAGAAGCCGTGAGTTTCAGGAGTTCTTAGAGAACTACGGAGTACAACCGTATTACAATGCTCTGTATACACCACAAAATAACCCGACACTAACAACGATGAAAACGTTAATAATGTCATATATCGAGGAGGATGAGCGTTACTGGGACCTAGAGTTAAGTAAAGTCGCGTGTGCTCTGCGGACGGCTAAGATTGAGGCTACGAGGAAAACACCATACTTCGTCAATTTTGGGTTCGAAATGATAGATGACGGGCGGCAGTACGCTCTACAGCGAAACCGAATGTTTTTGACGGACAGTGAAGATTCAGAGGACGATGAGGACGGTAATCGGTATTTTAATCGCAAGGAGATTGCAAAATGCATGGAAGAGGGTAAAGCGTTATTACGATCGTAAGCGGCGTGACGTGATCTATGAGATAGGCGACGTCGTCTGGAAGCGCGAGTATCCTACGACGGACGCTTCTAAGCATTTTGCCGCCAAGCTGGCCAAACGTTATAAGGCACCCTTTAGAATCTCCAATAGAATCGGGGCAAATGTATATGAACTGAATGATCCGCAGGGACAACCGAAAGGTCGATGGCACGTTAAGGACTTAAAACCGTATTATGAACCCGAGTCCGAGCCTGAGGCAAGTGAAGAGGCCGGATCCATGGATTCCGACCGTGGAGTGTAGAGCAAGGCGCCCTTTAGGCAGGGCGATGCGCTGACCATCTGAGCATAGCACAAATAGAATGCGTCTAAGGCTTTGTACCGGCAGCGGTAAAAGTCCGTGATTGTACAAGACTACTGATTTTGACTTTTAATTTCCGTGAGGACACCTTTTTTTTGCGTTGGATAATTGGGTCGTTGGGTTTTTGCATGTTGGTTGTGGATGCCCAGTCGACGAGTTGCCTTCCGGAAAAGTAATTCCCGATTTTGACTTATTTTCTCTCTTACTGTGTGTATGGTTCAGTTCTGGTTGACGTTGGAGCGTCGTTTGGTTGTTGTAATTTTTTTTCTTTTGAGGTTTTGACCCCAAAGGCGGGCGTATAAGACGCGAATCAATTCTAACTGACCCTATACAATGTGAGTTTTTTTTGTTTTTCCCGATTTTGAGGCTTTGAGGTCGGAAATTCTAGTGTCGGCTGTACGGGATTCGCGTTGTTACGCAAGCCCGGTTCGAGATATTTTGTTATGTAAATTTCCATTTGCAACCAGACGGCCGCTGGTGGCGTTTCGATTCGGCGGGGCAGATGTTGAGCGCGGCAGCGGATTACTCATATATATTTACAACATGTGTTATATATTTTTTTAAATGTATAATTTTATGATGAGGCAAATGAACAACGTTAAATTTAAAAAATTGAGCAGTTTTTACTAATAATATTTAAATGAAGATGATAAAAAAGATAAAATAATTTTATTGAGCATTTTTTGTTGTTTTTATGATATTTCTTAAATTTGAATTTATCTTTTGTTTATAGCACCGATTAAATACATACACGTATTTATTATACTTACCTATTTAATGTTTGCGGGTACCCAGATATTATTTTTATAGATTCTTTTAGTGTATTTTTTTCAAAAGTACCGCGAATTATGTCGGTCTAATTCTGATTGGTTCCATACGCATGCTGCGGGGTACCTAAAATTGTTAAAAAAAACGTACATTAACCCAGCAGTCACTAAGTCAAATAGAATTATCAGTCACACTTCAAAACGTTAGAGGTTTAAACACCAAAACCAATACTTTTTACTTGAATGCACTAAATTCGGAAAGTGACGTCATAATTTTATCCGAAACTTGGCTTCGGGAAGATATCAGACCTGCAGAATACTTTGACGAGTGTTATGAGGTATATCAACGTAACGGAGGCAATAGAGGTAGAGGAGTTCTTGTAGCCGTAAAAAATGGTTTTTCTTCGAGTGATATGAAATTGCGCAGTCCAGATGATGCTGTGGATCTTGTTGGGGTCAAGCTAGGAAATCAGGGAAATTACATCAATATTATTGCAGTTTATATCCCACCTGCTAAACCATCTTATGTGTATGAAGCCATATTCGAATATATTGAATTAACCACGGATCCCGAATATAATTACGAACAAAATATCTTAGGCAGTAAAGGAACAGTGAATGCGTTACATACATTTATGGCCTTCAATGCAATGAATCAAATAAACAACATACCCAATAAGAATGGTAGATATTTAGATCTGGTACTCTGTTCAGAAGATATAGTTTTCGAAATCACTCGACAACTTGATCCTTTTGTTAAAGAAGACGACCATCACCCATCTCTGGAGTTGCTAGTACGTCTGTCTAATTTTGAGCGTAATATACCTTTTGTTACTCAACATTCGAAATACTATTACAACTACAAAAAATGTGATCTTACTACGTTATACACAGAATTAGCCTTTAAATCATGGGAAGATCTTTATAAAATATCGAACGTCGATGAAGCTACGGATTTTTTCTATAATGATCTGATGAAGTGTGTTGACTCTTTTGTGCCCTGTAAACCCATTAAAAACCGCACCTATCCAAAATGGTATACTCCGCAACTGATTAAATTAATCGAAATGAAAAATCGATATAGGAAACTCTACAAAAAAACTAAATTACAATATTACTCCGATATGGTTAATCAAATTCGTAAAGAAATCAAATCTAATATCAAAAAAGATTACGATAAATTTGTGAGTGACGCACAGTATCGTCTTCGCAACGATCCGCACAAGCTTTGGTCATTTATTGACACAAAAAAAAATGTAACCAGAATTCCAGGCAAAATGACTCTTGATGCTGAAGAATTGTCTTCGCCATACAGCATTGTCGAAGGATTTGCAGATCTATTTAGCAGTGTCTATTCGTCGAAGACATGTCATCCCATCTGTGATACTTTTGATTCTGTCTGTGATAATAATGGCTGTGGCATTGTGGATAACCTAAACTGTGATACATCTGACTGTGATATGCAAAATGTGCTCCATACATTTCATATATCTGTGGTTGACATCAAGAAGGCTGTGAAAAAGTTAAAATCTAATTTTACTTCGGGACCGGATAAAATACCGGCATTCCTTGTTAAGGACTGTATTAATTGTTTTTGCGAACCTCTTTGCTATTTGTACAATTTAATTATTCAGACCAGTACCTTTCCCAAATTATGGAAAATCGCTAAAGTAATCCCAATTTTCAAGTCGGGCAGTAAGTCAGATGTCACTAACTATCGCCCAGTATGTCATTAGCAATTTTGCAAAAATTTTTGACAGCATCTTAACTAATATTTTGTACAGCCACGTAACACCCCAAATTACAAACAGGCAACATGGTTTTATCAAAGGGAAATCTACTACTACCAATTTAAGTGAATTTGTCCAATTAGTTTCCAATGCTCTAGATAAACGTCATCAGGTAGATGTTATTTACACAGATCTCTCTAAGGCCTTTGACATTGTTGATCATAATATATTAATAAATAAGCTTTCAAAAGTTGGTTTATGTAGCAGCTTGATATCTCTTTTTCAATCAATATTGAGTGAAAGATCTCAGTATGTGGAACACAATGGCTATCAATCTAGGGTGTATTCTTCTACTAGCGGCGTAACACAAGGGTCAAATCTTGGGCCTATTTTGTTCAATATTTTTATCAATGATATTACGAAAGCCTTCACCAGCCAAGTATATTTGTACGCGGATGACCTAAAGATTGTAAGAATAATTAAAGACCACCTTGATTCTTTAGCGCTTCAAGAGGATATTAATAATTTTGTGATGTATTGTAGAACTAATAAAATTAAGATTAACATAAGTAAATGTAAAGTAATGACCTTTTCTCGTAAAACTCATGAAATTAATTTTCAATATTACCTAGACAATACGTTACTAAACAAATGTGAGCAAATTCAGGACCTTGGCGTAACTTTAGATAGTTCCCTGTCATTCGTTCCTCATATTAATAAAATCTGTAAAGACGCGTATACCATGTTAGGCTTTATAAAAAGGAACACTACTAGTTTTAAAGATATTGAATGTTAGAAAATACTTTATAATGCTTACATCGTAAACAAGTTAAACTATTGTTGTGTAGTATGGAATCCTTTCTATGATGTTCATGTTAACTCCATGGAAAAGGTACAAAGTAAATTTTGCAAATATCTACATTTTATATCACATGGTTTTTATCCTATTCAAGGGTATCCACAACAAGAACTATTAGATGAATTTAGTTTGTGTCCATTACATCTTAGGCGTGAATTTTCCAATATTATCTACCTATATAAAATTGTTCACGGCATTACAGTGTCCTCATATATGTTAGAACAGCTCAACTTCAGTGTTCCCAATGTTTTGTGTAGAAATTTGTTGACCTTCTCTTATAACACCCCACATACGAATCAACATCTGCATTCGCCAATGTACAATATGTGTGTTAGTTATAACAAATTATGTAAATTTAACAAAGACATAGCTATATTTCGTTTTCAGCTTAGCACATTTAGAAGGCTATGTAAAGACTATTTTAATATGTTTTAATGTTTATCGGTATTCTTTTTAAGTATATACAATATTGTTGTTTTGCATTTTGTTATCCTGTAATTGGACTTCGGTCTGCGGGGTAAATAAATAAATAAATCTAAATCATGAACTCTTGTCTTGCAATGGCGTAAACTAAACGGTGCAACGCAACGTGCATCACGAGCGGGAAAATAACGTTCCACGTTCCACGTTCCACGTTCCACGTGAGCAATTCCTCGGGCGGTTTTCCTTTGTTTATGTAACAGTGAAGCAGGGAAGTTTGTGTCCTGTGTGTGGAATTTGGATAATTCTGGTTAGAAAGGTAGTTTAAAATTGGAAAAATGCCGCGAAATAACAGGAAGTACTGTAAAAAATATCGTTATCTGAAAAAAGTTGCGAATGTTAACAATACCAGTAATGATAGTAATCGTGATACTTGTACAATACCCACAAGAACGTGTATTGCTGAATATATAAATGCAATAAGTAACACTGTTCATAGTGTGCATAACAATGTTGATAGCAGTAATGAAAGTCCTGTTTCTGAAGAATGTATGGAACTCGCTCAAGCTGACTTAATGACAACAATTTTACCTGCAGATTCATTAGATGAAAATAATCTATTAAAAACATTTACAACTTTCTTAAAGGAGTGGGCGTTAACAAATAAGATAAATTTATCCCAAATGAACGGTTTACTAAAGGGCCTTAGAACTATTTTGGGTTTAGATTTACCACTTGATGCTCGCACGGTTTTAGGTACATCAAAACAAGTAAATATCAGACCAATGCAGAGTTTGAGGGGATCTACTGGAGAATATGTTTATTTTGGAATAATGCCAGTTTTAAATTTATATTTGCAAGAATATTCCATAAAAACAAAAATTTTGGAAACTAAAACTGTAAAACTATTATTCAATGTTGATGGTTTACCAATTTTTAAAAGCAGTAATAAGCAATTCTGGCCTATTCTTTGTCATATTCATGTTGGCTGTTTTAAAGTACAACCTTTTCCAGTTGTCTTATATTGTGGCGATTCTAAACCTAATTCAGTTGCTCAATATTTAGAAGATTTTTTATATGAGTTAAATAGCTTAACATCAAATAATCTCGTAGTTAATGGTGTTATATTAAATGTCAGAATTTTATGTTTTACATGTGATGCATCTG